CTGTGACGCATCAAGCTCATTCTCCAGATCTTCACCAATATCAGACAGGGCCCCGAAGTCGGCGGGTTGAATATCATTATCGTCGTATTCGTCAACGTCTGGCACATCACGTATCCACGAATGTTGAAAGCATTCACTTTCCTTCGGTCGTGAATGAGGGTCACGGTTCAGAAGGCGCCTAACAAAATCGACACCGGCCTCTGATACACCCTCTCTGCGCAGCACATCATAATCAGGGTCGGTAGTCATGATATTCCGCAACATCTGAGACCCCCTGTCGTCGCCTCGACCCGTGTACGGAGGTGTACCGCTAAGGATGTGGAACAGTACCGCACCGAAAGACCACATATCGACAGACTGATCGTATGGGGACGTTTTCGGAGGACTACAAGTCAATGTAAGCGATGCCCGCGATGCCCGTGATGGATAGAAGTTGACTTACGGATCACCCAATCGACGTCTTTTTCTGACTTCACCTCGTCGATAGTTCTCATATTCCGGATACACCTCGGGCGCGCAGTACAACAAAGTGCCACAAAAGGTCTTCAAGAACGTTTCCTCTTGAACGACCTTCGACAATCCAAAGTCCGACAGTTTCACTCTTAGCGGCTCAAGCGAAGCGATCAGAATGTTATCAGGTTTTATATCACGATGCGTGATCCTGCGTTTGTGAAGATATTGCAATGCATGCAGGAGTTGCCGGGCCAACATTTTAACCATGTCTTCAGGAATCTTGCCATGGGTTGAAAGATAAGTAGAAAGCTCCCCACCAGGTACATATTCCATGATAATATAGATCCATCTGTCATGCTCATGGTGATCAATGTACTGCACGATGTTGGGCTGTTCTCAGTGGTGATTAGTCCTATAAGTCCTGTACAAATGAATGGGTTCCAGAACTCACATGTTTGAGATCTTTCATGATTTTCATTTCATTGTCGACCTTCTGATCAAGAATCCCATTTTTCATGAACCTCCTCTTGTCGAGCTCCTTGGCGGCATACACGGCTCCGTGTTGTTTCGTGGCAAGCTTGTAAACAGTCGCGAACGCTCCTTTTCCGATTTGGCCAGTCACATTGTACATGCTACCGCCTGTCCAGTGCATTCCATACGCATTGGCTACTGTCCATTCCAGACTAGGGCGCACCGAGCCTTGACGGTTCTTCTGCATGGCACCTGCTGGTTGCCTCTGAACTCGTTCGAGGTAACGAAGCATATTCTCTGTGTAGCGCATTGCATATCCATCCCGGGACGGAATGCGGACGACGAACCTTACCTCATCAGAGGCGTTGTTGCCGCGCAACACTTGTATGACAGAGCCATTGGTTAACATGCGGCTGTTCTCTTTTTGATTTTTGCGAAGGCGACAATCGTCTACAACGGTGCCGTTGGTCGAGAGATCTTCAAGCATCAGAATTCCGTCGCCGGTGAGGTGGATTCGGAAGTGCGTGTTGGATATGCGCTTTGCATTGTCGTCCGGGGCAAGAAGAAGGTCGCATCGGCTTCTGTTGCGCCCAAAGCAAAAGCCTAAATTTATATTACGGACATTGGAGGATAGTCTGAGAGCGATATCCAGAGCTGCGGTGTCCGGATCTTCGTATTCCAACTCGTCTTTTTGTAAGATGTGTTGAGGCGCAAGGGAAGCAGTCGCGGCCACTGCCTCATGAGCGGCAAGAGACGTTGGATGCAAGATGCAGATGATGTCTGAAACATCCTCCTCAAGCAGGCCAGAGTTGTTCCGACCAATACGGCGGGGATCTGTACATGGCTGAGTCGACTCCTGAGTCGCCTCCATCTAGAATGACGAAGGATGGCTCCCAAAAGAGAAAAAGAAAAAGAAGGAAATAGAAAAAGAGCGAATGGTTCGATAGCGCAAATTATAATAGGAAAGACTGTCAAGAGTGGGTTGTCCGGGGTATCAAAGCCGATGCGCGTGGGGAACTATGTCTGCATAACCAACTCAATAATCAATACAAGTTCATAAGACGCTTCTGCCGATGTTAGAAGCCTGGCACTTCGTCTCGCATTCCCTACAGGAGAGAGAAATGCCCTCTCACCTTTCAGGAGATCCAGAAGTTGAAGCCAACGAAGAATTATTGTGTCCAAGGAATCTGATTCGGGGCTCTCGAATGGATATGGCTAGCCAAAACGCTCTTTCCAGGCAATGTGGGAGCGGTCCTCTCGAATGGGTGTTTCCAGGCAACGAATCCACAGAAGCGGGAATCCGGATAGGACAAGGAATAAAGAAAGAAACACCCAAGGCAAACGAAACCTAGGATTCCAAAAAGACCGGAGTTCCTTGTAGGCTACCAGGATGCACAGTGATATGCAAGACTGCACTCAATCCACTTATTCATCACAAGCGGTTATTTCTCGTCCGTACGGTTGAAGGAACGGACGACCAGGACCATTGAGTCAAAAAGCGATGAGAGGCTATGTATGAGAAAGGCTATCTGAGGCACGAAGGCTATGTCTAAAGTACAATAGGCAATGGTTAGCCCACAACAGCGATCAGTCACACGCAGAAACATTGCACGGAAACTCACACACTCAGCTGTTCCCCGTCAGCCATTTACTGGACTATCAAGATCCTATGAGTTCTGTGATGACTGTCACTTGACAGGAGTGGAGCCAACTACAGGGACGAGACAGGAGGCTGATTGCGAAAAAGTCGTCGTCCGAGAAACAAGCTCCTAGGCTGAGGGTGAAGGTCCGCCTTTATTCTGCGAGTCGAGTACGCCCCAGGCATCGACAAGGCATCAACAAAGCTAGTTCCTGAGGCCTCCTTTGAAGCTCTGACCAATAGGAATGCATCGTGATTTGGCGGCTGGGGTCATCCATGGAACATCAATGTGACAGATCAACTCTGTGTTTACAAGACTTTACGACAAGCTGGATTTAGAGAGTGTTGATTTCAATGTCTTCTTACGAAAAGAGGTATCTAATTTTCTATTACCGCTTCATTCCATAAGGAATACTTTGATCTGCGCTGCGCTGGTATTCGCCACTCAGAGCGCGATCGAAAACCTGCTCCAGTCTGCTGAGCGCGATCTCGGAAACCTCTGTGACTAGTCAGAAACTACCCACCACATGTTGCTCGGGTATTGTATGGGACTTACGATAATGCACGACGATTCGACCTCCGAGTAATTTGAGGCCAATCTCCTTTCCAATCTCGGCCAGGTCATTGGGACCTACACCAGAGGATTCAAGGTCCAGCCATACCATGTTTGTATGTACTGGATGTTGTAACTTGCCGCCACGGGCAGTCCACATCCCGGCGACTTTCTTGGCATTGATGTGAGTTTCTCGAAGTTTACCCTTCTGACCGTTGGGATCTGGCCCGAAAGTCTCCTCGAGGGCCACCCGTGCAGCCGCAGCAATTACTCCAGCCTGACGAACGCCGCCACCGATGGATTTGCGAAACCAACGAGCTTTCTTGATGAATTCATTGGATCCGACAATGATACTCCCAATTGGTGCGCCCAAGCCTTTGGAGAAGCATAGACTCACACTGTCGAACAGGCCAGCATATTCTGGCAAGCTGCCAGCTCCAGAAACCACTGCTTCCCAGAGTCTCGCGCCGTCCAAATGTACCTTGACTCCGTTCTGATGAGCCCATTCTGTGATCCGACGAGCTTCGGCCAAAGGCAGCACCATGCCGTCCAGGGTATTCTCCAAGCTGATAAGCTTCGTTGGGCAGTAATGTACGTCTTCGTGGAGCACTGCGTGCTTTTGAATGTCCTCTAGAGTAAGGTGAATACCGTTACTAGGCACGATAGGTTGTACCATGGCCCCGGTCAGAGAGCTGACACCTCCGGCCTCATAGCGCACGATGTGAGAGCGATGATCACAGAGAACGGAGTAAGGAGGTTGCACGAGATGTGTCCGAATGGCAACCTGATTGCCCATAGTTCCCGACATGACGAGTAAGGCGCTCTGATGGCCGGTCCGTTCGGCGACGTTGGCTTGGAGGTCATTTGTCACAGGATCCTCTTCGAAGACGTCGTCCAACAAGGTAGTCTGACAAATTGCTTCGAGCATCGAAGGGGTAGGCTTGGTCATCGTGTCGCCTTGGGAATTCTTCCATATTAGTTCCCCCTGTCTTCCACTGCACTGCAATGGACTCACTTCGCAAGTCAAATTCTGCTGCATCGGCACCCTGCCAACTACTGATCCTGCCATTGGTCCCGTCGAGACAGGCTGAAGTGCTCGCCATGGCTAATACTCGGTTGCGTCCGAACGTTTGAGCGGGAGAATGTGACCGGAAGGCAAGGAGTTGCCGGCGTAGAATGCGAGCGCTGTTCATTTAGAAGGATTTTGAGGCCTCTTTATTGAAACAGCTCAAGCGCTTAATCCAATTGGTGAGCAGCCGTGCGGAGTTGCGACTCTTGATCTTCTCCTAATTCGGTGTCCGCCCACTCCGATACGGCAGAAAGGACCAGCAGCGTGCGGGGTCAGCTTCCATGTCTGACTCCCGACTCCCGAGCCCTGTCCGTCCTCAGAGCCTTGGAGAGTCAGTTGGAGTCTTTTTGGGAGGAGGAAGTGCTACGGACTTTCGTACAGTGCTCAAATTAACATTTCATTTTTACCAGCGATGAAGATATGACTACATACTTTCAATGATAGAAAGCAGTTCAACTGAGGATAAACGGAAGCCCAGAGTCCCACGTACTGTAATAATGTTCAGAATGAGACCCAGTGGTAAGGTATTGGAGCGAATACGTCTCCGTAATATGACCGCTAGTTCAATACCTCAGCAATTGACCGTTATGACTAAAAACGCTATGATGAAAGTGACAAAATGTGAAACACCCCAAACGCGTTCGAGCCTTATCGATAACCGAAAGAGGAATAGCTGGACCCGTCATCGTGTCAGTGGAACGCCTTACTCAGCATTCGAGATCATCATTGTGGGCATCCTACTACAAGGCCGCAAATGGGCTGGCTCTTCTTTGTCCTTAACAGTCGCCAGTTCTTGTGCTAAATGTGATCCCAGGATGGATCTGTCGAAACTCGCTCGACCCGCTATTCTCTGCCAGTGTTCACGCTGTTCGAGCTCCCTCGCTGCACTCGAAAATGAGTGGGCAAGGCTGTCCAACTCTTACGCTGTCGCTACAGGATGGCTGAGCGTCGAACTTCACCGGATCTCGATCTCAACGGAGAAGAAGCAGGTGCCGCAGAACTCTGAAATGAGCCTTTTGCGGGGGCGTATCCTGCAGGAAATTGCTTGCAAGCTGTGTCAGCAGAAACTGGGGGTTCTGTGTGCTTTAGACGATGGGTGAGTGCGAAGTCAAGAAGCAGGGTCATGTGCAAGTGCGCCTTCTAACTGGACTACAGCCCTAATATCTTCTGGAAGCTATCCAAGGTATCATTTAGGGAAATCGTCACCATGCGCACCGTTGAACCCCTTTTCAAAGACGGATCCATCGAACGTATCCTCTGTCCGACTCCGAAAGAGTCCACCAGCCGGGCTTTAGTATCTACCGGTCCTCACGAGGTCGACGGGAATACCATGTCGATGGAACAGCAGATTCAGCACCAAGGTGTCAGCATTGATCACATCTCCAACTCCGTTAACAACCTGCATGATACCATGTCGGAATTGAAACATTCCTTCACATCGCTTCGGATAGAGTTGAATGGTCCTGGGCGACTTCCCTCTGACAGTTCCAGTACTCACGGAAGCGATTTCGATATGATCAGGACGGTGTTGAAGGAACTCAAATCAAAAGCTGAAGAAATCGAGACATTGAAGTTGGAGATCCAGGCTCTCCAGTTGAAGAACCGATACATGGAGGAGCAAACAACAAGGCACCCTGCTGCAACTTTCGGCATGGAAACGAGTGGTATGCCAGAAGTTCGGAGTCCTGGGCTCCTTCATGTTGGTAGGAAACGGCCCTGGCCTGACTCGTTCCCGAGTGGTCGCACCGAGCCCATTGCGGACTCGTTCGATGAGGAAGATGACACATTCGGCGACTTTTCACTCGCGGATATGCATGCTCAGTCGGTCAAAATTCCCTTGAAAGACCCTGAGCCTGTCCGTGCCATAACCGATTCAACGCTCCGTCAGATACCGCCTGAGTCGCCTAGACTTCGCATTGAGGTCACTCGATCGCGTCAACATACGCCTCACTTCGACAATATGGTCGAAGACACTCAAGGCACAAATATGGGCACACAACAGTCCACCGTGGTCAAGCGGCCTCGTATATCCCATTCGGCTGACCGGCCTTCCGGAGGAAACACCGAGAAGAGAAGGCCAGGACGACCGCGTAAATCATTCAGCCAGTCTACCAAGCCGGACTTCTCTCAGTCACCAAAACCGACACCGTTAAGCGAACAAAATGGCAACGTTGGTACAAGTACTCAAAATGAGCAGATACCGTCAAACACAAGCCCTAGCGAAGCACTGGAGGCCAGGCAACGGGGTTCTACTCGTTCGCGAACCTTGCGCAGTCAATCGCGACCCCCTTCACGGCGTCAGTCTGGCAATGCAGTTTCCCAATCGATGAACGGGGTTCAGAATGCATTAGAAGGGAGTCGACCGATGACTACGGAGGAAACATCACAACGCTCAAACAAAGAAGCAGGCAGTCAACCACAGAATAATGAGATTGACTCCACGAAGGAGAATCTGCCGACATCAGCGCAGACCAAGCCTTCGGGCATTAACAATGATGACGAGAGACGAAAGCTGATAGCAGCGCGGGATTTGGTGGCTCGCTTAGCAATGCAACACGAGGAAGCAATGGAGACCGAGGAGGGTCGGTGACAATGTAGGGTGCAGTTTATATCATGTATTTCTAGACAACTATTTAAGACAAAGAGTTATAAAAAGGCCTTTACTACGCCTACCATCGTAGAGTCTCGGCAATGCAGAAATGTTCATGTCATGTAATTCGCCTATCTTCATCAACCTCAACCAAATGTCTGGGTATCCTGACTTCGATCATTCAATAAACCAACGATAGCCGACATCTACACAACATCAGGCCATATATGCAAGACACAGACAACTCCTGCTGAGAGACAGCCCCCGATGAGAGATTCCTCTATTTAACACACATAAACCCACAGCCCTCCCTGGCCCTTTCGCAGGCCTTCTTCAACGCCTGTTCCTCCGCATCCGTCCATTTCACAGTCAACTCATCCCATGGTTTGCGCGAATTGAACTCCTCCCGGAAAGTTTTGTGCATAGCCTGTAGGCGGCTGACTTCTCGCGGGTCCCCGGTGCCCGAATATACCATGAACAGGGTACAAGGTGGAAGGGATTCGTAGATGCGTTGGATGTTGGCAACTGTGCGGGCTACTGTATCTGCCAGGGCTTTCTGAGCAGCAGCAGTAGGCTCGACCATGCCCGAACCCGTCGGGGTGGTTTCTTCGGGAGGAGGGATCAATGTCGTCGACTCGTTGGCATTGTTCGGGTCGGGAAGACGATTGCACCACCCGCGCAGAACCTCGAGTTCTCGCATTCGGGCCCAGGTGAAATCCACTCCGCCGCCCGGAATAGATGGGTTACTGGGATCGCCTTTTACGACGGCGGAGACGCCCTGGACAACTTCGTCGTCATTCTGACACCCAATCGCGACGGTCGCCTGCGACCCAAATCCGCGCTCGGGGTTGCCCCAGTCCACGACAGCTCCCGTACGGCCTTCGCCAGAAGTGGTCGCTTTCCCTGGGCGCGGGGAACGGCCAAGGCGCCGGAAGATGCTTTCGTTCGAGGCGTCGCTTGTGCCCCATCGCTCGCCCTTTTCGCATTTTTGCTTCACTAGCTCTAGCACGGCACGTGCGTCCTCCACGGAGTCGTGGCCGGTTTGGCCTTTTTGGATTTCTTTCCCGAGGTATTTCTGAGTGAGCCATTTCAGGCTGCATTTGAGTGGTGGTCCGCGAGGGTGCGGATAGATGATCGCGGTGTCAACAATAAAGGGGTGGGTAAGCTTGAGGGCGTTCAGATCGGAATTGAGCGAGTGGCCCACCAGCACCGTGCGCGGAGTGAGAATAGTGAGTAGCTTTTGCTGAATGTCGGCGAGAGTGGTAGTGACAGAATCCAATTTTTCTTTCGTGATTCCTGAAAAGCGGGTCAGGTAGTCGATGATGGGCAACTGTGGCTTCACAAGCTCATCCAACACCACTTCGCCATCCCACCGTACCAAGCTGATACGTGTAAGTTCTGATTTACCACCTTCTGTGATGCACATCTCACAATCCAGAGCCAGTACATCGCGACCGGCAGTTACACTGCCTTGCTGAATCTCATGCTCAGGAACTTGCCCCGCTTCCCAGCTCGGAACATGTGTATCGACCCAACCATCCTCGGTCGACTGGCCAGCTCTTTTGCGATTTTCCGCCAACGCCAACTTCTCCTTTTCAGTTGACAAGAGCGCCGGATGAAGGACATAATCATTTTCGCGCAGATCGTCAACACTGCTAATGAATGCCGTGATAGGCGTACGCTTAGGGACGTAGCTTTTGTCTACCTTAGGCGGTTTAGGGCCCTTGCCCCCACTTTCTTTGTTCTTCGGTAAGGAAGAAAGTAAGATGGCTTGAAGAGGAGAATGAACCTTGTTGTACTTTGAGTCTCCAGGGGCCCTTACGGGCCAGATATGTGGAAACATGTCCGCTAGTGGTTGTAATGGTTCCGGGAGATTGACTCGTGTTAAAGGACGGGGGTTGAATCGGTGCGATCGATCTTCCAGCGGAAGGCCTTGTTTCCAGCGAAGGAAGTTGGCCTTGTCCTCATCCCCTTCGGCCGTCTTGTTAGCATCGGAGTCTTTCTGCTCTGCATCTGGAGCTTGAGTCGATCGAGCATCCTCATCTTCAGGTTGCGGTTTCAATGGAAGGGTCCCGTCAAACATCCCCATTTCCAGACCGGGAATCATCAACACGACAATTTTTCTAATATGACCCGAATGCTTGATGGAGATCCACTGAGGTGCGATGCCATCCGCGAAACAGTAAAGTAATAGATTTTGGAGATCCGCGATGCGGATGGAGGATTGCAGTCGACCTTCCACATAGATAAGCACAGGATATTTTGTCTTTTCGCCGTCAACTCTCTTCTTTTTCGTGGGTCTTTGCACCGATACACCGTCTTTCGTCTGATCATGGGCTTCTTCTGTAGGTGTCGCATCAGAACCTGCAGTAGCTATCCCGCTGTTGTCTGCCGCTTGTGATTTTGCGCCGTGAAGAAGTGATAGAGTTTGGGCTACTCCAAAGCCATTCGTATTATCGGAAGGATGTCCGACTGGATCCTCATCATCTGAGCATTCGGCTTCTCTGCGCTTGCGCTTGTTTGTTCCAGCCATATCTGGACCAGCGGTGGCCAACAAGGCAGATATTTAGTGGCTAGGTAAGATGCAAACACTTATGATATAGGACATCCGTGTTCTTTGAGAATAACTGTCTTAGATTACAAAACTGAACTCGGCATAAAGCAGTTTTTTCGAAACCTCCTCGCTGGTGGTTTGTCCAGAATGCTCAGCAGAAGGGATTGGATGGACTTTTTGAGAGCACGTGATGATAAGTATCCCAGACAACAGATTTGAGTATTGAATCACGTGATGATAGTGTCCACGAGCTGCTTATTGACCAAACGTCGCTGCATCGTAAGAGGCCGTCAAGTCAAGCTAACGTTGTACTTATTTTTGATTGATTTGTAATGCTCCCTGGGATCGATTACTCCCAGATGCGAAGGCAATGATCGAAGAAAATATCGTTGCTGACTCATTGCGATGGCGTCAGGGCGGATTATAAGTTGATCCGCAGCTAACAATGTTTCTCCGCGGGATCGAACCAAACAGAAGCGTAAGAATCGGTACGGTACCTTACGTACCTCCAAGTCTGGGCCGATCTGATAAGCCAAAAATTCGCCTTCCGGTCTCGTGCATCTCAACTCTTTCCCTCCGTACATCCATCGCCCGTATACTTGAAAGGATATTGGGTCTTCTTTCTTTCTCATCCTACTCCTCGGTCCCCTTTCCTTTCAGAAAAAGGCTCATAGATTGTCTTCCGCCTCCTAGCAGTTACTCTATCAGCACACCGTTAATCGAAAGGTCTACTCCACCACGCAGTCTAACCCCACGACCGTGCCCCGCGGTATCCTCCCTCAAGCACCATGTCGACGCTCAACGAAATCACCTCGGACGCCGACTTCTCGGCACACACCTCCTCTCTCCCTCCCTCGGCCCTACTAGTCCTCTACTTCCATGCGCCATGGGCAGCTCCCTGCGCCCAGATGCGCGCCGTTCTCTCCGCCCTCGCCTCCCAGCATCCCGTCACCACCCCGCCCACCGTCTCCTTCGTGAGCATCAATGCTGAAGAACTCCCCGACATTTCCGAAGAGTACAACGTTACAGCTGTGCCATATGTGGTCCTTATCCGCAACGGCCAGATCCTCGAATCCATTAGCGGCAGCAACGCCGTCAAGGTGCGCGATGCGGTCGAGCGGCACGCGGGCGCTGGATCGGGCGCGAGCGCAGACGGCGCGAACAAGACGGCTATCCCTCCTCCTTTGACGGCTACGCCTCGCGAGAATGCACCTGCGGCTGCTACGCAAGCGCCCGCTCCCTCGACCCAGGCATTGACGCCCGAGCAGTCCAAGGAGGCGCTGTTTGCACGGTTGGCGGAGCTGGTGAAGGCCGCGCCGGTTATGCTCTTCATGAAGGGTACGCCCAGTGCGCCACAGTGCGGGTTCAGTCGTCAGTTGGTTGCCATCCTACGGGAGAAGAGCGTCAAGTACGGGTTCTTCAATATTCTGGCCGATGAGGATGTCAGGCAGGGGCTGAAGGAGTTTGCGGACTGGCCTACATTTCCTCAGTTGTGGGTTGAGGGGGAGCTGGTTGGTGGATTAGATATCGTATGTTCTTCTATCGTCGCTTCTCGAATCGGAAAGTCATTGCTAACTGATATGCTTTTGTTACAGGTCAAGGAAGAGATCAACAACGACCCCGATTTCCTGAGCCAGTTCTCCGTTAACAAGGCTCCTGCTGCCGCTTGAAGATACGACGGATGCGCTTGGTACATGATACAAACTTCCTTGAAAACCATTTATACTCCCATGTGTTCCCTCTTCGTTAGACTTGAGATTTAGCATTGATGAATATAATTTTCTTTCGTGTTCAAATACGATTACACATGTACAGTCCTGTGCTTTGCCTCGACCATGCTTGCGGCGCGGAATTTAGCACGCGCAGGTATCGAAAGGATGAATACTGTCTGATAACCCGCTACAGTACACAGAGCACTTATATTTCTATAGCAGTGAATCCACAAGCTCAAGGTGGATGCTCCTTGTTGAAAATCACATCGCTAAGCTGAATTTGCGTCCGCAATACCAAGAAAAATTCTGGTTTATTCTGTTCCGTGATTCTCGGCGGTAGCTCTACTCTCTCTGGCCGCCCTGGTCGCTTTTTTGGGCCCCACAGCCCTGGTCCAGTGCCAAGTAGGGTACTGGGCGTTACGACACTTTCTGAAGGTGGAGAGGACGGCGTCCTCGTCGACGTAGGCGCCGGCCAGCCACCGCTTACCCTGTTCGGTGTTGAACTGGTTACGGGCGTGGAGGATTCGGCGATTCTCGAAGATGACACATTCGCCCGGGTTCAACTTAAGCTGGAAGACGTTGTAAGGGCGTTCGATTTCACTCGCAAAAGTCGCGAGAGCTCGCCTGTACTCAGGCCAGTGCTTGTGGATGTGCTCGTCCGAGATAACGGGCGCTTGGAAAGGGGGCGAGTAGTTGACGTGAACGATTCGTTTTTTCGGGTCGCCGTCTTCCGTCTCCAATACAGGCCAGCTGTTGTTGTAGATGTGTTCCTTGTGGTTGTATTCGTAGTTCAGGTGCAGCCTGGTCAGATCTTCGAATCGCTCTGGGTGTTTCCAACGCACTAGATCCGCAACCCGGAAGCTGTCCACGAACAGGGACTCGCCCCCGTCGCATGAGTTCTCAAGGCAATGCAGCAGCTGGAAGCCCGGGGGCTCGTTCATGTACATGAGGTCCATGTGGAATCCGAGGGATACGTTGGTGTAGGCGACGTTCTTCGCCTCGGGGACGCTGCGGACATCCCATGTCTGTCCGTAGAAGGTGTTCCGCAAGGGCCCCATTTTGGTTGCAATCTTCTCAACCATCTCCCGCGAGTCGGGGATATCCTTAACGAAGATGATGCCCATCAGCGCTAGTTGGCGCATAGACTTGACGAATGCTGTTTCGTCATTCATGTAATCCTCGTACGAGACCCAGTACTGACTCTCTTCCATGGCCTTCTTGTCCCAGAGAAATCGACGCCTCATCGTGCCCGTATCCGATCTGGGAGGGTTGGCCCTATGGTCTTTAAACATTGCCACATCATACTTGGACACATGGTCCGGGCCCCATCCTTCGATATCAGTTGACCACTTTATCTGCAGCTCCTTGCCGTCCCATTGAACGTCCCGAGGAACAATCAACGGAGGAATGTCCGTAGTGCGGAACTTGCGCTGTTTCGAATGCTCGTCTACGCAGAGGTTGCATTTACAGGCATCGCGTAGGAGCATGTACCTGAAGCCCCGGGGCTCTCCGTCAATCATGACATCCATTTTGGCTTTCACTAGCCTGATCCCTTCCGGGGCGGGTTTTTTCAAATATTCTTGAGCATAGTCAGTATAACCATATTTTGAGATCACTCTGTTCAGGTCAAGGTAATCTGTCTTTAGCCCCTGAGCCTGTCCCGTAGATGGGGTTGAATAGCTCCGTCGGGCGAGGAATAGGCGTAGAGGGATGCTCCGCCATGGTAGCCGGACGAGAGGTCTTAGGACCCGGCTCATTGTGTGTCAGCGGTGCTTCGATGGTCCGCAATCTTGAACAATGTCTGGAGGAACGGGAGGGATGTTGATGTTTACAGAGTAGTGTCATGCAATCCATCAAACGCGGAGTCGCGTGTGTCCGATTTCCACGCCGAGGTTACAGACCCGTATCTGGATTAGTGGAGTGCCGCCTTAGCAGACCAAATGAGTTCCTCTCGGACAGATGGCGATGCCGCTGCTCGCTTTGTACGTCACCTCTGGATGTCCTGAAGGAGCAGGCAGGATGATATTGATGCAATACTAAAGCGAGAATCTCCTACTGAGGTCGAGATTGATTGCATAATGTTATCCATGGTCAATACCTCCATCTGCCCACCAATGCCCGTCAGCTGTGTCAGTGACTACTGCATACGCCACGATAGAAAGCCCTGCCATTGGTGGTATAATTATACCCAGCACGAGCCATTGAACAAGAATGCCTATCTTGGCAGTCAAAGCATTCCAGAGTTCCAGACAGTATCGCTGAGAAAACGTAGCAACAGTAGCATAGCAGCAGAACGGAGATGACCCGTATGTAGCGTTCCCTTTACGTATTGTTTACCCAACAAGAACCATCCTGCTCCATCCCCCAGATCCTGATTTATCCACAGCGTATCGGCAGAGTGCAAGCCTAATTCCATCCTAAAAAAACCTTTCTATCCATTGCTGCAAAATCACAAAGTGGCCGTTAGAATCATTCATCCCATCTGATGAAAGCGTCCTGGTCATCAAGTCAGCGCTGACGATCTCCGAAAGACAGCCCAAGCCAAAGCCAAAGCCCTTTGCTTCATATATCACATGCATGTCGGCCGGGGGCGAACACCTCAAGGATGAGGTACGTCTGGCCTTAAAAGTCCCGCCGTCTCCCAATATCGACCCTTACGCCTTCAATTCAAGTACTGACACGAGAAAAAAGGGCACGCGACGTCAAGTCGTTCTCTCAGGTGGAATCGCCGGGCTGGTCTCGCGGTGAGTCCAGCCTACCTCTACTGCTCTGAATCGTAATCGCAGCAGCTAATCCACCACCCTCTTGTTAAAACAGATTCTGCGTCGCCCCTCTCGACGTCGTCAAGATCCGCCTCCAACTACAGATCCACTCCCTCTCCGATCCGGTCTCCCACCGCGATGTAGTCGGTCCAATATACAAGGGGACCCTCTCCACCATGAGGGCGATTATCAAGCAAGAGGGGATAACAGTGCGCTTTCCTTATTCCCCGCCCGACCACAAAGAAAAATAAAATAAAAAAGCTAATGGATCCTGGCAACAGGGCCTCTGGAAAGGCAACATCCCCGCCGAACTCATGTACGTCTGCTACGGCGCCCTGCAATTCACAGCCTACCGCACTACAACTCAAGTCCTCGCACAACTCGATCCGCACCGTCTTCCGCCCGCCCTGGAATCCTTCGTCTCGGGCGCTGTAGCCGGCGGCCTAGCTACGGCGTCGACTTATCCACTCGATCTGCTGCGAACGCGCTTCGCGGCCCAGGGCAC